TATGAAATAATCATAATTAATGCTCAACCTTCCTTTGCTCTGCTAAAACCCATAATCCAGATCGACTTAGTGGTATAATGACTTCACCATTCTCACTGCCTCTCTGAATGAGTGTACTCAATGTATTATGACAACTTCATGTGGATGCAAAGTCACATGTACTTTAAGTTATGCAGGGAGTGCAAGGCTTTTCTTTTGGAATGCAAAAACAGGAAGATATTGTTTATGAAGTAATTTTTTCAACCTTTATTCATTTAGGGAACATTGTCTGAGACGTCACATGCTTTTAAGCAATGCTTAGCTTAACGCATTCTCATCTTGAGAGCTACGTAGGACAGTTACAGTCCTCACTGAGCAGCTTTACCGCTTCTGTGCCTTGCTCAATGAATTAAGTTTTCAGATGGTTTCTTAGTCACTTTATCCAGATTTTATCATTTGATTCAAAAAAGCAACACTGTGACGTGACACCGACTTCTCAAACCTTCAGGCTACCACCGCCCCATTAAGGAGAAGCATCATTAGTCTCAGTCTGTTTGGTGCTGCCCCAGTGTTTTCTTGTGTAGTGCTACTGATATGAACTTGATGTATCGCTAGGCTACAAACAATAGTCTAAAAATAGAGACGAGCTGACAACATTGCTCCACAAGGCTGTGTGTGTTTGTACTGAGCGTGTTTATGTTAGTGAATATGCATGAATGCGTTTCTGGCTGTACATTTGGGTGCACAAGTGCATGTATGAACAAGCTCTTAGTTGTTCGGCACATCCTCGGGGTTATGGACTAGCAGATGGAATTGAGAGTTATTTTACCAGCCTCTGTGATTGCATTAACACTTACAAGTCTTGCTCTGATAAAAGGAAAACGCTGACGGAATAATTCCAAGGTTTTCACAAATTTAACAAAAGCCATACCACTTATTCAGTATATTCATTTGTTACATTGTGAAGATTTTCCTCAGTTTGCAATTTGATTAAGTCAACTCAATAGCATCTAATATAATGTAAACCATAGTTCTAACTGATGATGTCATTACAACAATTCTAATTATTTACATTTACAGCTAAATCTCACAGCAATAAGCATTTATATTATCATCTTGTAATGTTGTATTATCAGTTTTGGCAGAGATTGTTTACTTCCAGCAGATACAAAACAATTTGGCAACATCCCAGCCCTAGTTTGGAAATAAATATCTGTCTCTCTTGATAAATGTTCAACAAAGACTTCAACTTCACCAGCCACTCGTTTACTTTGGCTGTCTGCCATTTCACTCTGGACAGGTAGCGTAGAACTGGCTTGCTTGAGCTTGTAGGCTGAGAGTAGCTGTCCACAGTTTTTTTTATGAACCTACATTGTTTTGGTTTGTCAGACCAATACAATGAGCTCAAAGTGGCTTAACTCTGTGTAGAGGTGCAGACTCAGCTGTTGATTTTTGTTTGGATTGTTACTGGAATCATCAACACTAAGTAACCTTTTTTCAATTGTATCTTACCATAAAGAAGATTGCGTAATCCATAGAAATAAATAAATAGTAAGCACTGTAAGAATTTAACTTGTCATTGCATTGCAGCTTTAAATATTTTATAATAAGTGTTCTTTCACATGTTCAAGCCAAAACACAGTGTTTGCAATTAGAGAGGCAGTGTTGTGTGCCATGGTTAAAGGTCTGGTTCCCATTCCTGCTGAAAATGTATGTAGTGAATGTGTATTATTAAAGCCCTACAGATAAAAGCATTCCATCATATGGCATGTGTCTTTGTGGTACTTGACTCTGGGGTTAGCAACACCGAGCATAGGATCATAGAGAGAACACAACTTCATGCAGAGCACGTCTGCTGGCGAGAACAGTTGCTCACTGTTGAGTAAGACTGCTGTCCGTCTTTTTATTTCACTAACTGAGGGAACTCAAACTCTGTATCCTATTTTGCCCCCCAACACTAACGCTGTGATTAATCTCATCTCATTTATGTGCGCTTCATGTCATGTTAGTGCTGTTTGTGCAGGCAACAGCATTCCTCACGATACAGTGCAAAGAAGGGCTAGAAAGAAAACCTTTCTTTGCGCAGGAGAAAAGTCCCTTCGGGTAGATTACACAAGCACAGCCGATGATATCATCAAATCAGCGTGGATAGAGAAATAAAGGAAGGGTGGGTATAGAAAGAAAGAAAGAAAGATGGGATTCAAACAGGGGACGGAAAGACTGTATTTGAGAGAGAGGGATCTGCTTTAATGCCAGTGTAATGGCTTCGGACAGCCTTAATCCTCCCGCTGGCTAGCTCTGGAGCTTTTTTCTTGAAAGTTTCTAATGAAATCAAGTCCTGCGATGACGAGCACCCATCAACTAAGGAAGAAATTCACGCTCACAGCTCAGTGATATGGAAGGCTGAGCAGGGAGAGGTGCAGAACCCTTGTCCACATAAATCACATACATTAACTCTATGGGCAAGAAGGGGAGAGGAGATCCATGGAGGTCAAACTAGCCTGCAGGCATGGAGGGAAGCCCTGTATGAGGAAAAACTGTTTATATTTCCATGTGGAGCAATTTTCTTAAGGTTCTCTTGATAAGCAGGAAATCACTGACTTTTAATAATTAATTTAAGTAATATATTTTTTTCAGTCATTATTCACAATCAGGCTTTTGATGAGGCAATTTATAGTCTTTTTAATTGATTATAGGATTGATTTGTTGTAGTAGAGGACTCATTAAGAGAGGGAGACAAACTAAATATAGCATTAGAGCCAATAAATGTCAATTATTTCTTACAATATGACAGGATTCCAGGTCATACATTTGCTGAATTGCTGAACTGTATGCTATCTTTTTTAAAAACGCATTCCTTGCATTTTTTTCCCCGACTTGTGGTAGTTTACATTAAGATAGATCTACTCCTCCGTGACACTGCCAATACAAGGAATCCTCAGAGTTAGCAAATGTTTTTGTATGAATTATTAAGGCAAACACCCATATTTGCTTTTGGATATATTGGAATAAAAGCTTCAAAAACCAGTAGCAGCAGGAAAAGGAGGAGGGGTTAAAGTAAAGAGTCAGAGTGAAAGCAAGATGGAGAAAGAAACCAAGCGAAAAAGAAAGACTTATCTTACCTTCAAGCACTGTAAGCTTGGCACTGGTGTTGATCTCGCCTGCACTGTTGGTGGCTGTGCACTCGTAAATGGCTTCGTCTCTGTGTGTGCGCAGTGGCTGGATCCGCAGTACGGAGCCCGAGCCATCATCAAACTCAATCACCTAGGAGAGCCAGAGCAAAACAAAAGGCCAGGAATGTTATTTTTAGGGGCCTCCATTTCTTTACAGGAATATCCCTTTATTGCCGCATGTAATAACGCTCGTTTAGACTTGCAGATTACAGTTTTCTTCATTTTTGTGTTTCTGATTTGAGAGAGGAAAAATGTGCCAGTTTTGCAGCTTTGCCAGTTTTTCAAAAGCCTATTGTGATGTCCAGATGCAAAATTTGAATTTTTAGAAGTAGAATATAAGTCTGCTGCCCTCACTGAATGGCTAATGAAGCCAAAGTTTCCTCTCAAGAGACATCAACCATGATCAGCAAAATTGTATCCAAACAGACTGTGATGCACAGCAGAACCACAATAAGGATCACATCAACCTGTATCAACCAGGAGTAACAATAGTACCACCAGCTACCGTGGCTACCTTACATTTCAGAAGAAAGATAGTGTGAGTTCCCACCTAAGGTACTTCCTTCTGTTTATATGGGTTCAAAAGAGGGAGGGGAATTACATCAAGTAATACATCAAGGGGATGTATGGCCAGAGATGGTGGAGCTGAGGAACAAAAGGGGAAGGATGAGGGTGTGAAAAGACTGAAGGAGATGAAGAGGACTATATAAATCAAGATGGAAGGAGATTAAAGAGAAGGGAAGCCTGTCTGGTCTCGCTTGGAAAAGAGAAGAGTTGGTGTGATGCTCAATAACAGGGCAATTGATTGTGTGTGCTTTGTGAGTGTGTGCTTGCTGTGAACACTGTGAGCGTGGATTTGTCTGCGTTAATGAGAGAGGGTTAGAGAGGCAGTCTAAAGCCCACGCCTGTAATGTTTAGTCACGTGTGCTTGTGTTTTTGTGTGTACATGTGGGTGTGTATGTTGAGTGTTCAGAGATCTGAAAGTCACGCATGAGTGCTCACCTCAAAGCGCTGAGAGCTGACTTTCTTGCCTTTCTTCATCCAGGTGATTCTGGGTTTGGGCTCCCCGGCGGCCTGGCACACAAACGACGCAACTCCGCCCGAGATGCCCGTCTGGTCCTCTGGGGATTTCACAAAACTTGGCAAGCCTGAGGAGGAAGGAGCAAAGGGGGCAGAGGGAGATGGAAAGTGATAAAAAGAGGGAGGGAAAGGAGTCAGGGACATGGAAAGTGGGAGAGAGGCAAGGGAGAAGGAAGAGCAGAAGGGAGGGGGAGAGGTGAAGGTGATGTTAGTGCCAGTCACATCGGCATGTAAAACTTGTTTATCTGTGGGTATCACTTTCTCCACACAAAGGCAACAATAGAAAAACACTGTTGCTGTGCACACCTGCAGCTCTTTCATGCGAGAAACATTGAGTCTTTGTGTCCCTGTCTGTCACTATTTTATGTTGAATTTCTCACCTCTGCTTTGACACACCATTTGAAACGCAAACGTTTGTCAACCACACACACTAGAGTTTCAGTTTTATCTATTGATCATGAGGGATTGCATTAAAATCAATAGATAAAACAAGATATTGTATATGTTTGCAAAAATCATCACAGAGAAAGAAACCCTAGATTCTGGTAAATTAGACACTTTTTACTTAATCTGCTTAGCAATTATCCATTTGTTGGGCTTATGAGGCACATCCTAAAATCTAAACAAGGCTACTACTTTGTTGTGATCCTGTGAGCTCTGTGTGACCTCTCAGATGTGTGTTTACAACAACAGTGCACTACCATGGAGAACACATATAAAGGTGCTTCCCCTGTTTGCCTTCAGGGTGTTGGATACGGAGCACCACACCCAACATCATTATGCACAGGACAATAGAGTGTGTGTTTCCGCGACAGCCCGTCTAAGTTGACATGATGCTACAATGAACGCACCTTAGCTGCTTGCTATAGCCGCCATGCTTTATGCTGTATTTACAGTCTCAGACGTGCATAATAGGAGTCTGGCTTCAACAATGAGGCACGATGTCCTTATTACCAGCTCCATCAGCTCGCATTTCATCTCCAGAGTAATTAAAGAGGGAGGTGGGGAACACCTAAACCGCAGTGATGACGAGGAGACCGCCCCGTGGAGACACACACAAAGGGGTGAATCGTTATGCTGTGTACACAGAGGAGACATAGCCTTCCCTCTCTGAGCGCACGCTGGGGAAAATCCAGCAATGGCGGCCACCATTCTTTTCTTTTTAATGTGTTCTAATATAACATTGGTGGGAGAAGGTGCCGGGAGGGGTCTATATCTAGTTAGCATAGCACTGTACCTCATTCTTATATGGATTGGACCTTTACTGAGCACATTCTCCAGGTCTACTTGTTATATCATCAACCTCTGCTCTCACTTGACTAGAGAGAGAGGGGTGGTGCTGTTTGTCCTTGCTCGGGGACATCTCTGCAGAGGGGCTTTCTTTAAGCAATACAGCAGTATACAATAAATGAGATACTGCGTGTGGGTAGTGACGTGTGTGCAGACGTAACACTTTGATGCGAGATTGCTGTACACATTCAATTGCAACTGGTTGAACGGACAGAGGTACTTGCAGAAATATGAGATGTAGCTCCTGAAGAAAAGCTTACTGTTCATGCAGGACAGTCCTCTTCAATCTTGAATTTCCCTCAGGATAAATAAAGTATCTGTCTGTCTGTCTATCCATGACATAGTGACATTTCCATAACACACACACATACACACTCCCTGCCTAAAAAATAAGTTTTAAAACGTGCTCCAAGTGAATTGGAAACTTTAAGATGACCGTGCAGATGCAGTGCTACAGTGACACACTGCAGTCAAACAGCAGGTAAAACCTTAGAACTGCTCCATACACTCAACATTCAACAACTTTAAAAAGAAAAGTTGTTTAAAAAAACAACCATGATATGCTAAAAATGACAAACAAATCCACAGCATTTTACATAACACTGATAGGCTGAAGTGTACTGTGGTGCAATGTAGTGTGTGAGTAGGCAGTTATGTGTGCTTGGCGATACACAGTAATCCATCCATCCATCTGTGCCCTGTGACCCTTCATAGTACCTAAACCCACCTGACATTTGAATGATATTTTCGTCCCGGTTCTCCCACGGACAAGATTTAGACGGCAACAGCACAGTAATAAATCCTTTTCTATAGCATCAGGACGTGGCTGCGGCACACACACAGGCAGCAGCAAGAGCCGTGCTAACGATTCAAACCTGATAAGCTTTAAAGAGTATATGCCTGAGCATGCATCTGTGCGTGCATGGGTGGTGAGTTGGAATCCTCAAGACCTGATTATCACCATTCTGACTTCCAAGACTTACTGCTAACATCTGTCCACAGCACTTCTATTTAAGTTGATGTGATGGCTTTTCACTTTGTTGCTAAGATGGAGGATCAGGCGGCATTAAAGAGTTCTCGGCACATGCTTCAAATTAAAGGATGTAAGCCCATGTATTGCTACAAACATTTAAGTGAGGGACCGCTGGATCTTAGAAACCATAAGGATTTTTAGGGATAAGTGGAAGAAAAGAGTAAACTGGCCCTCACAGAGCTTTTCCCATATTAATCCTCTTAAAAAAGCTTCCCCTGCATTTCGATAGTTAACCTATGACTCAAAGGTGAACTATGGCAAATTCAGAGCTGTCCATCTGTAATCCAGATCTCACCAAGCATTCAATCACAAAATCTGGACGGGGTTAATAGTGGTCCCTCACACACCAATGAAAAGGGCAGAAGCATTTATTTTTGGACTAAGACTCTGCAGAGTTCCTCCATCACTGTGCCACCACTGGCAGGTAAGGATATCAAACTGTTGGGTTTGTCAGTTCTTTTCTTAGAGAGACAAAATCCAGGCCTTTTTTCTCTGCCTGTGTCCCATTTTCCTGGCTGTCAGGCACTTGTCACATGAAAACAATGGCAGGGATGGGGTGGAAAACACATAAGCCTACCTATGCAAATCCTTCAATCAGCCAGTGACTGCAAGCTTTGAGCTGCACTCTTTCTAAGCTTTGATACATCACATTCAAAACTCCTATCTTGACGCACAAGGCTTCCACACATGCACTCTTCTCACAGGCAGAGTGTAGAAAGTGCTGCCACATCCGTCAGGCCCAGTATTGGTTGCATGGTCCCAGAATTTCAAGGTTGAGGTTATTGACTCATGGATGGCACTAACCAAATTAAGGCATTTCTCTAATTCTAATTTCTAATTCTAATCTAATCACATAAACAACTAAACTGGCTTATGAAATTGCTTGCACACACTCATACCTGGACCAAAAGTCAATTATTCAATATTTCTTTTAATTACCCAATTAATGCAGTCAGAAAGATCAAAAAGTGACCCACATGAAAAACAGTGTTGCTCCAGTCTACACAAACAGCAGCATGGCTGGTGGTGGTGGAAAAAACCCAACCACAACACATTTGTTGTTAGTCGAGCAAAAAGCCTTTCATGTTACAATTAACAAATGGAATAAATTAGTTAATCGAAGCAGAAAAAACAACACACACAAATAAAAACTCTCAATTTTCTTTTTCTTATTTTGTGGGGTTAATAAGTTGTTTCTTATATGCATCTACACACCCTGACAGATAATCTGATTATCAAACAAATCATAGGGTTATTAGGGAAATGAATGCAAACTTGTAACGCCTAACATAACACAAAGTGCTATCTTAATATAGTGAAGTTATTAGTAGTAATTCTGAATATTTAGTATTTATGCTGTAGTGCCACCAGGTGTATTCTCACTTAAAATCACAACTATGTATATCTGCGGCCTGTTGATTTGAAATTTAAATTTGAAGGCAGACAAATCTGCATAGATCCCTGGTTTAGACAGCACTGAGGGAGCCTAAAGGATGCTGATTGCTCTGCATGGGCTGGATTAAACAGCTTCTCTCAGTTAACATAATGCCTGAAGCAATATTTGTGGGGTCTGAAGTCATTAGAGAGATGAAAGGTACAGGGGGTTCCCGAACTCCAGTGTTGCTACAGGTGTTTTATTTTCCATTAGACAGATGTGAAGGTGTTGGGACGTGTGATCGGGAACACCTATCAACATACAGTAAATGACTTTCAAGGACAATAAGAGTATGAATAAATTAATGAATATGGGTCATATTTTAGGACAAGAATAGAAGTGAGCTTTTAAGAGACTGGATAAAATGGAAAGTGGTTTACTGAAATATTGTTTTTCGCTGTTCTGACCCACTCAAAGCATTGTTACTGTATAGTGCGCTTCCTAAGCAGCTATACAGTTTTGTCTTTTTTCTTTGTTGGGGGCCTCAGAGCAGGGCTTGTAATAAATGCAGAGACAGCAGGGAGAGTTGTGTAAATGGCACTTGTGTGGCTAACAATTAGTGTATTCCCAGGCCTGCCGGAGTGCCCAATGAGAGCTACTCTGTGGTGTAGAGTATCAGGGATCGATACACACGCGGCAGAGAGAAAACCATTAATTCTTATTAATAATGGATTAGCAAGTTATCATTTTCATGAGGCAACACTTAGTGGAAATTTGTCTGATGGCATCAGCACTGGTTGTTTTAATGGAACACTTCCATTAAGGCCTTTTCGGGCCATTAGCAGGCAACTTGTTTGCAATTAATTCCATATAAAGCTGCCTCCCCTGCAAGTTATTTACCCCGATAAAGTCAACTGCACTTCAGGCTGTTTGTTTAAACCAATAAACATCATGTTTGCTATCTGCACTCTTTTACAGCTGAACAACAAGGAGCATTGTGTCATTTTTTCCCAAATGACACATGTACATGGAACGTTAGAATTTATGTGGAGGGACCCTAGGACTGAATAATATAAAGCACAGTTTCTCATAATCACATCCCTGTGGTCGATGTATTTCGGGTCAACATGATTTATTTTATTATCTAGTTTTTAAAATGTAATCTCAAATCTGTCACATTGAGTTTACGTTATGAAGAGATAAGAATGCAGCTGTCATTGTGCAAAGCAGTACAGCAGTCCACCAGCTCCTCCACTGGTTTTTTACTGTGTAAATCACACCATATTGTTTGCCTCACTGTTAAACATACACTTAAGGTAAGTGAGACACAGTATGAATGTTTTAGCTAAGGTCATTTGGTTTAAATATCT